ATATCTGAAAAATATTAGGCAAATCAAAAAATTATTGGGAAAAAGTTGTTCAAATTAATCAGTGATATACGATAGTATAATAAACTATAGGGGGTTCCCTGTGAAAAATTTAAGATGTCTTTCACGTTATCTTGACGCTATTCAAGGTCGTTCTGATATTGCTATGTAATACGTTACTTGTAATCCTACAACTTTTGTCTGAAAAATGTTCTGGAACCTATACGTTTTGACATATTCTACGTGCTCAACATAGAGAAACACACTGGATACAATATGTATGTGTGTGTGTGTGTGTGTGTGTGTGTGTGTGTGTGTGTGTGTGTGTGTGTGTGTATACCTTTCAAAGTTTTACATGTTTCTGAAATTTCTAGAAGAGCATCATTGTCGATAGATAGGCATTTACGTAATTGTAAGTGTGTTAAAACCCTGCCGTAATTATGAAGGAAGCTTATTAAATGCGAAACAGAAAAGTCACTTACAATTAGTGTAAGATCTAACTGTTTCAGACGTCTACATCTGGGTGTAATGTAACGAAATATGTCAGGAATACACGTAATACTCATATGGCACACATTACGCACGTTTAAACGTGTATAAAGGCTAGAGTCCAATGTCATATAATAAATGCGCTTATTTACTTGACTAACGCGAGATAATGACATCAAATCTAACATTTTTAATATGTGTAGCAAAATTTCATCCTGCAAATATAAAATTGAAATATACAAAATAACATTTGCAATTAATATCATCACATGATATACACTTCTTGAAATACCGTACGGGAAGCGTTAGTAATTCGGAATGCGATTCGTTTGAAGAGTTTGTATATGCTCCACTGTAACTAAAGTTGCTCTCTTGACAAATATTGACTATACCGCTGCAAATAACGTTAGAAAAAATTAAATTTTATTATTACGAAAATGGAAAAGATGAAATGTTACTTAATATCGACGATTGTAATACCTTTGAATATGATCTGTTAAATCGTCAGTGACTCCGAGGTAAAAATATACATTTTTAATAAAATTTGACAGAAGAGATCCTAAATTATTTGTAAGATAATGCGGCGGGATAATTTCCGACGTGCCGATAAGCATCACAGAATTTATCATTTTGTAATATTTCCATGCACCGTGCGCAAATTGCTTAGTGTTTTGGTTTTAAAGGTACACAACTGTGAGGGTACGCAAAATAATGTTGACTCTCTCGTGTGCGAAAAAGTAGAAAACGATGTTCCCAGTGTTTCATCCCATAATAAAAAGTCTTGATTATCAGAACCAATAGCCAAAATGTGAAATATTTCTATTGCAGTATTACTCATTGCGTGTATATCAATACCGATCGGATATACAGCTTCATGAAATGATGTATCTTTAAAATAGAAAACACAGTTATAATTTCTTCTTAATAGAGATGTATTATGTTTAACAAATCAAATATTACATAACTACATTTGAATCTGTGGCCTCACGTACAACCTGTGGTACATATGAATTCGAACAAATTTGGTCTTTGTTTTGCCATGGAGATAGTGAGATATCGAAAGGATAAGTTCTCTGCATTAAAAAATCAATAAGTGTCCAATACAAAATCTTGTACCATAAAGTTAGATTGTGATTACTTTTTACAGGACAATAATAAGTAATACCAAAAAGAAAAACACATACCATAACAAATGATTCTTTAAAATCTTCATACTTTGAATGGTTAAGGGGGCATAGGACTCTTTCGGCTGTAAAATGTATGTCCTTTTCATGATTATTTTTGGAAAAGATATATAAGCTATAAAAATCGGGTTTTTTAATAAATAAATATACATCTTTTTGACTATTATTTACAATTTTATATTTTAAAATTTATTGAAAAATACTCTGTCAACCGTCTCTCGCTTTAGACCTTGCACGGCATGTAGCGTTTTGCGGTACCAGAGATATCTCCGAGTTGGATTATCTGAGACAAAAAATTCAAGAAAGACCTTAAAGTATACTAGAAATTGTAGTCCCTATCGGATGGAATTTAAAAATTTTTATTTTTAACAAAATGGCGGACTTTTAAACGTAAAACATCGATTTTCGGCAACATTTCTTACTTTCTTCCTGGAAAAAAAAATAAAAAATCAAAGAATCGAAAAAAGCATCCGATAGGGACTACAGAATTTTATAAGCTTTCATTTAAAAAAACAAGTAAATCGGTTGATCCGTCCTTGAGTTATCCATGGTACCGATTTTGAAAGTGCAGTTTCGAGAAAATCGCGTTTAAAGTTTTGCAACAAGGCTACAGACAGCTGTGCACAAAGCCGTTTAAAGTGCTGTAACTTCCAAACTATTTCGAATTTCAAAAAACGGCTTTGGGGTAACATTCTTAAGACATTAAGCATTCAAAATATGCAAAAAAAATTCCGATTTTTTGAAGCCAAAAGAGTCCTATGCCCCCTTAACAGGTGTTTCCCATATGTAACGATGAGTATCATTTTCAATAGGGCGATGAAGAACGTGGCAATTCTTCGCAAATTGATAGATAAAAGTCTTCTCTCCTGTAGGAATCGCACTTATGTTAATTCCACCGACAGAGATCGGAGATTGGTCTGCTTGGATCTCAAGTTACACAATTATGTGTAAAACAGTTTACCCTTTTGAACCGTCGACACAACAGCAAATTGGATTCACTTGAAACGAATGTTGTTTGTTTAACAAAATCACGGACAGATGTTACTTAACTTTATGAAGGCCACAATACCTGACAGAGCCATTCTTGCATATCATCACGTGCGATCAACGCAATTAGATACGCGTGGAGCATCGTCCGGAACGCGTATTTAAATACTGTTGCGTTTGAAATAATGCAATCGCGAACGTGTTTGTTCCCGCAAGGGTCTATTGTCTATGAGCGCGCATAGAAGCAAGAAAAAAGTATAAATTAGAAAAAATGTAAAAAGCGAGTGTTTACAACTTTTATACTTTCACGGTGTTATCTCTTCAAACGGAAATAAGAGGTTCAAAGATCGAACTGCGATAAATGATAAGTCAGATAGGTCTCTGAAAGTAAACACACAATAAGTTGTATATTTAAATAATTCACGCTTTTAACAGTCTTAACAGCAACACGTCGAACGCATCATATTCTAATGCAGTTGTTGCGATTCATTTTTTATGCAACGCTATTCGCTACCGCATTCCTTCGTACTTACTGCCTACACGAGATCAACGTGTGACATTATAATTAGTTTCTTCTGCGCATCAAGGTGTACAAATTTGTGTTACGCAATATTCTCCACGATTTGTCGAGCCATTGTTCTTTCATCGTTCATCAATTATCATTCTTATGCACGTTTAAGTCGCATAACCTAAATTTAGTTAGGACTATGAATTGAAAATTTCACATACCAATATCTTTTTTATCAGACTTTTGAATTGAACGTTTTAAGTATGAAAATGTTCTGCTATGCGGCCCGCAACTTATCCTGGTATTATTTTGTGCATAGAAGCTAATAAAAGAATTACAAGCGCAAAAACTATATTTGACCGTGTTGGTAAAAAAGATGGCTGAAGGGTCCTCGTCTGCATCTGAGTTAAATTACAGTCACAGATGGAGAAAAAGTAACAAAGTTAAGCTATAGTTACCAAAAAAAGTAACTCTAACTGTAACTTCGTTACAAATAACGAGTTACTTCCCAACCCTGCAAATTAGTACTGAATTGGGCCGCACACCTAAACTTTTTTAATAATGGGGAAGATGGCTAGATTTAACAGAGATTTAATTATACTAAAAAAATTTTTCATTGTAAATATCCTTTGTGATTGATACTTTTGACGCTGCCTCGGACAAGGAGAATTTACGTCTACTTACGGTCCTGTTTTCGTATACCCTCATTCATGTGGTTGTGTTTACTCACGCAGAAGCCTGTGCACATTCACGCACCTGCACATTCACACATCGGCACGCATATAGGCAACGCGCAATGTAAATGTGCGACCTTGTGAGCGCAACAGGCGTCACTCTACAACCACAGCTTTGCAACCTAGAGACAGTGGTACGACGGCGGGTACAAGTAAATCCCCTACTTCACCAGCAACGGCCACTTTTACGACAGTAGCGTAGTCGTAACAATATTGGAGTCTCAAAGTGTAAAAATTCAAAAGTAAAAATTAATTTCAACTCAAAGATTAACCACTTGATGCGATCACGCCCGGGTTTAATTGCATATTAAACATATTAAGCAGAACAATACTAATAATTACACACATCTTGTATAGACAAGCGAAAGATACCCATGCAGCGCAGATGGTTGCCGTTACATTGCAGAAACGTTGCAATCTTGCAGATTGCAGTGCATCTTGCAAAGACATTGCAGGAATATAAAATTGCAAACTTTCGATAGCAATATTGCAGCAATGTTTCAAAAATAATGAAAATATTATATTTTCTATTTAAAAAATGTTTCTAATTACGAGAATTTTATAATGTTATTTTCGTTGATACCAATAATGCGCGAATTATTAAGTACTTGATCAGTGCGGTGTTGCTCGCAATCTCCGTCTATTGCGAAGCGACATAGTCTCCTTAGGTTGCTTCGCAATAGCTTGCTATGTATTGAAAAAGGCCCGGACGCATATGTAATTAGTAAATTCTCTGCTTATGTACAATAACAACAAATTATTCCAAAAATATTGCACTGCAACATTGCTATAATGTTGCACTGCAATTTCTCTGAGAGCGGACATTTCAACGTTGCTGCAATGTTGCAATCTTGTAATGTAACATTTCTGCAATCTTCCTGCAAACTTTCTGTGCTGTGTGGGTATTTTTAAAAAATAGTACATGTTACTATGCACGTACAATACACGCGAGACGGTACACATATCTCTGTGCCGAATTTCTCAGGCGCGTCGTCTCTACTTCTTTTTACAAATTCCCGTCCGACCGGTGCCCGTCGGTGGACACCTTGTCGCGCTCCGCCACTGTGAACCGGCCACGCCGGTCTCTTATAAAGGGAACCCACGCGAAAGCAAGCCGCATACCACGGCGGCGCGTCGCGCGCAAACGGAGCCGACGGAGCCGACTGTCACGACTGTGCGACACCGAGGATCGCAATCGCTCGCTCAGGCCGCTCATGGGGCCCCGTGTATCTCGCCGACGGCCGTCAACGACCGTCTAAAAACGATCACGGTCTGCGTCGCGATGCGCGGCGGATCGCGCTGCGAACGACGACGATCGCGGACGACGACGGCGCGCGCGGTGAAAGCCCTCTCCTCGGTGAATTCCTCCGAGCGATCGGCGGAGGTGGTGGTGCGTGTGGACGTTCGATCGCTCCCAGTGCGACCGCGGCGTCGCGCGCCCGACACCGTTGGCCATCGACGCGAGGACCGTGCCGGAGGCACCCTCTCCAACCGGAGACCCGCCAGACGCGGGTCCACGTAGACCGTCGCCGCTCGCCGGCCAGCAACGATCCTCTTCCTGCCCGCCGCTCGAGATCTCGGCCGTCGCTGAGGGCGGTCGCCGCAGCAGCCAGCAGCAATTTGCTCCGAATCGCCTGAGTCGCGCGATTATGGTACGTGCAAGTTTTGCTTCTCGCGTGTGCCACGGAACAAGCTACCTGACGCGTCACCCGAGTCGTAATTGTTCCCGTAATTGGGAACCGCGCACGCTCGCGTCGAATTAGATAACATAACGGATCATTTTCAGCCGCCGATAACGCATTGGCTAGGCGAGATTAAAAAGAAAGAAAATGTAAGATATTTACTTCCGCCGCCCGTTACCGTTGCCTCGCGAAGAGTCGATGCGCTTCAGAGGCACGCGACCGATACAGTTGGAGCGACATTTTATTCAATTTGTGAAAGGAGAAATAAGATTAGGAGTTATCGCCTTTGTTCCTTCCCTCTTTCTCCGAGTGACGCACCGAGCGTTGAAGTCTCTATTAAGAAGACGGGATACGCGGGGCGTCTTTATCGCATTTGTCTCGTCAATTCCCCTTAGTTAACGATACGATAATCGAGGTCGGTGCCGCCGGGTCTTAAGCGCGATCTTCCTCCCCAGGGAGAAATGATTCGTCGATCGACGTCGAATCGACATCGACAACGTCGAATTGACGTCGATTCGACATCATTTCGACGTCGATCGTATCATTTCTCGCTGGGTCGCGGCGTAGCGCGACTGCTCCGAATCGATCGATCGGCGTGGCCGAAGCTTTTTTCCCCTCTCGGGGAAAGTTCGATCGCGTCGGCTCGTTTTCTTTGAAACGTCCTGCTTTCGCACGCGCGCGCGCGCGCGGCTTCGTCGCATCCGGAGCGAAGGGGCCAGGCCGCCATTGCAGATTCGGAACAGCTGATAGTCACTTGCTGCTGCTGACAGACGCGCTGGTATTTTCGTGAAAAAATATATTTTCCAGGTTTCTTCGCCAATATGTTCAGACTGTTTCCAAAAGGTCATATTAAAAAGTGTAGTTATGACCCATACAGCACAGAATATTGCAGCAACATTGCAACGATATTGCAAATTGCAATGCAACTTTACGGAGATATTGTAGAAACATAAATTAACAATATGCCTGCAATATATCAGCAATATGGCATTTATATTCCGGAAATATTGCAAAACTACAATTCTATAATTTTGCTATAATAATAATATAACTTTTTACAATATTTGTGTAGAGTCATTTAGTTTGATAGCCATTTTCAAGATATAATAATTAATAATCGCGTTTATATTCAAGTCTTATTTATTATTTGACAGCCATTTATTATGTCATTGAATTCTATTAAATTTTATATTTATTTTAAAAGATTAGAATATTAATATACAGGGTGAGTCTTTCCATATCCGACAAAATTTTTGAGAAGGTAGAACGGATCGAGATGAATGGAAAAGTCCTGTACCATTTTGCAATTTTCGTAATAGTTAACGAGTAATTAATTATTAAAAATCGTTGTCTTAGGCTGGCCTACCGCCCAATTCGAGCGCGTGGCGAGATGCGCATAGCAATATCGATCGCCAGGCGGTCACATCTTGCCACGCGCTCGAATTGGGCGGTAGGCCGGCCTAAGACGATTTTTAATAATTAATTACTCGTTAACTAT